GCTGACAGCTTCTTACATCACAAATTATTTTCCTTTCCCTGCCCCTTCCCTCTGCCCCCCCATCATTCTTTCAAAATAAGGTGCATAGGAAATCAGAAATCAAATTTTCTCCCAGAGATAATCGTAGATGAATTTTATGCTTCAGCCCTGCTAACGTCATATAGTAAAGATGGGTGGGAAAGGGAAGATAATTCGTAATTCTGTGGTTAGATGGGCAAGCTGCTCTGAAGAGTTTGTTTGCTTTTCTTTTTAAAGTGTAGCAGTAGTTTTGTGCATTTAGTTCTCCTCGTGAAGAAGTATAAACAAATACACAAAAGTTCCCTGCTGATTCTGCAAGAAAAGCAGCATTATCAATGAGTAGGGTGGTTTTGTACCTGGCTAAAGCAGTCCTTGCATACTGGATCATGGGAGAAAATATTCTGTCCTTCTAGACACTGTCATATAGACTTATCCAGAGTCTTAATTGTTATTTTGTTTTTAATGAAGAGTCTTAGCAATAATTAAGGTGCAACAACCAAACTAGAATTTTTTGCATCTTGACATGTAAAATTTCAGGGTTTAATTGGGAGCTGCACTAGATGATCTCCAGAGGTCTCCTCTGACCTGTGATTCTGTGAACTGCTCATTATTTGGCTGTGCTGTGCAGGTTCCTTCAGGCAGCACAGCTGCTGGGAGTCTGGTGTATCTAGGTGCAGCACATTGCAAGATGTGCTGCTAATGGAAGAGTGGATTGCTGAAACAAGCTGTAGCCATGAAAAGTGCAAAAGGACCATGTTAACACTACTGAAATGTATGCCTCTGCCCCCTAAGAAAGACGTTGGAGTGCTGTTCTTTGCAGAAGGTAGATTAATGCACTGCAAACTACTAGAGACACTGAGAAAATAGAACACTGATTTTTGCCATCTACTTTTGCAATATACTTTAATACTTTGGTTATTGTTTTTTTGGGTTTTTGGTTTTTTTTTTCAGTATATTGTTAGATGATGTTGAGAATCAGTAGTTCTAGTGATGAGCTTAAAATGACATTTCTGGTATTGTTTCAAGTTTTGGCAATTCTTTATAATAAATGAAGACATTTGTTTTATATGTCTCTGTTTAGCCAGCTACTACTCTTCAGACCAGCCACACTGAAGATGCAGAAATGAAAGATGAGCAGAATGGAGTTGAAGATAAATAAGTTGACACAGAAGCTTAAAGAAACCAGATTCCATTAGTTTTGTAAATGAAAGAATTTCCAGTGAATTAGACCTTTATTTTTCTACCTGGTTGGACAGTGGCTTCAGAGGAGCAGAGGCTGAGCTGCCATGCCACAGTCAAGAACAGCTCTGTATGTCTGTGAAATAAGCTGAGTGGCAGCACAAATCTGATTTAATCTAGGGACTTTATTTATTCATACAGCTTCTGTTACTGTTTGGGTTCTGTCTGGATTTACTCTGCTTGGTTTATCTGCATTTTGCCTTTAGTGTTTGTGTCTCTCTTGTTCCAGCTCACTTAAATATGGGAAACAATCTGGGATTAATTTCCTTGATTTCATTTTTTTTCTGTTTTTTTTTTTTTTTTTAAGCAGTTGGCCTTTTTCAACAGTCCTCATGTGAGATTTGAGAACAAATCAGTGCTCAATGTTCTACTGCCTTGGCGTTGTCCCCTTTCCCTTCCTCCATTAAGTGTTGTAACCTTTATATGCTTCCTTTTTGCGTATTGCTGAAAGTGAAGACTGTGAAGTCACAGCTTAAGTAATAAAGCTCCAATTAAGCTCAAGGAAATTGAACTTTTTGTATTTTTTATTGGCATTTGCAAAGAATTATGAGTCTGTGTTCTTGTCATTCAGTGTTTTCTTTTCCACATAGTGTTACTGTAACCACAATATCTACTTTTTTTCTGGTAATGTTGATTCATTGCCATTTAAAAAAGCGTACGCAATTGATCGATCTATTTGCAAATGAAGAAAATGTTGCTTAAAACTGTACACAAGTCTGTAACCTGTATATTATCTGTTAGTATTTCTCTTTCCCCTTTGTGTTGTGAAACTGGACCAGAAGAGTACTGATTGATATCTGAAAGTGACTGGCTTTGAAGATAAAATAAGTGCTAATAGTAAAATACCTTGAAAGTGCTTATAATTCCTAATGAAATGCTAATGTCTGAATGATTTCAGTCTTTATTATCTTTACCTCACAAGAAAACTACTTAATATTCTACTTTTTTTTGTAGTGTTTCTTGTGTTGGCTTGGAGAATGCTGTGTGTAGAGGGGAAGTGTTATGCTTGTATTTCTCTCTATAGATATGAGGTAGAATATTCTGACTTATCCATGCTCTTCATGCTGTTCTGTAGTGTTAAACTCAGCATCTCAACTGTCCTTTCCTGAAACTTTCTAGCAGCAGGGACAAATTTATTGCTTTTCAAAAGGAACATAGTTTTATCTGTTTCAGAGGAGAGAGAGGTTGGGCCAGGGAGCTGTATGTCTAAACTGTCACCAAAGTGGTAAGTCCTGCATGACATGCTTTCCGTACCCCAGGCCCAAGATGGTAAGTCCAGCCAGTTGCTGTGTTGGAGGTAGCTTATGGATCTGTGACCTGCGCTGCTTTCTGCGAGATTAGCAGTGCCTAAGGGCCTTCAGGTTGGGAAGGGGTAGAGGAAAAGGCAATATAGTCTCTGTTAGGTTATTACAGGAAAGAAAATGCTGTAACTTTTAAGGACCAGTTTCATTTGCTTAAACATCAACAGTTACTGCAGGTGCTTTTCGTAAGTTTTGGTTAAATATTATCAGTCCTATATATTTGAAAGCTGTTTTACATTGTACTTGAGCACAAATAACTCTAAATGGAACATTTAATATGGCTCAAGTGAGGAAAATCCTACTGGTGAAACACTAATAGTTGTCCATCCTTTTAGCTTGGTCTGGGCTGCATTGAGCAAACAGGAATTGCCATGGGTTGCATACTAATTATATGAATTCAGTGTATTTAACAACCAATTTTGGAATGCATTTTTATTAAAACATAAAAAAAAGACAACAAAAGCATAAGGCTACTGGGATATTTGCCCTTGTTTTTGTGAAACTAATGCACTAATCAGGCTGGTTCATTGGGCCTAGTGAGTTTTCCAAGTGTTCATCGAAGATTTTTGATGAAATACTACTCTTCCTGTATTTCATCCTTGACAATAAATGTATGTACTGCCACAAATGATGAATAAGGTATAATTGTGAAGCAAAGGATTTTTTTGGTAAGTGAGGGCTTATGACAGTTTAGTAAAGAGACTAAATTTTTTTTTTTTTTTAGTTGAATGCCTGATTACAACTCTACACATTCCTTGTGAAAATTTACAAGTACTGTGTTTGTTGGCTGAAAATGGAGTTGCAAATGTACGAAAAAATGATTTTATTTTTTTTTTCTTTTTTCAAGTCATGAAACCTATTCTCAGATTCCTTTATTAAAACAACACTTTTGCTGTTCTTAGCAAGGGACTGTGCTTAGCATATAAAAATGCATGAGATTATTTGCCATAATTTGAATTTGCCATAATTTGATTTCCATCACTGTCATTGTCTGAAATACAGCACGGGTATCGTGATTTTCACCTTGAAGATGCATGATTTAATGGATCAGATAGAAAATTACGTACTGTATACTTGCTTTGATTGGAAGCAGAGGTGTGCATTCCCTTTTAATTCATTTGAATATGAAATAAAGCTATCAGTTAATACACATAGACCTGATCATTTCCCAAGTGAATGGAGGGATTGAGAAATACATAAATGGTGGACTGAGAATTAAGATCGGCCTAGTGAGGGATGTGGAACACAAGTCTTAGGAGGAGCACCTGAGGGAACTGAGATTGCTTAGTCTGGAGAAGAGTTTCTGGGGAGACCTGTACAATAGCCTGAAAAAAAGGAGGTTGTGATGAGGTGGAGGTTGGCCTCTTCTCCCACATAGCTAGTGATAGGACTAAAGGGAACAGCTCGAAAATGTGCTGGGGAAGGTTCAGGTTGGATATTAGGAAAAATTTATTCTCTAGAAGATCGGTCAGGAACTAGATTGGGCTGTTTTGGGAGGTTGTGGAGTCACCACCCCTGGAGATGTTAGAGTATTTAGAGAGATGCTTCAGTGCAGTAATATTGGACGGTTGGACTAGGTGATCTTGAAGTTCTTTTCCAACCTCGGTGATTGTATGATTCGATATTTAGCTCATTTAAATGAACTGTCAAATCCACCAAAATTCTAAATATATGGAGATTGAAAATGGCTCACAATCCAGAACAAATTCTCCTTTTGATTCTAGGAAGTGTTTTTTAGTGTTTTACCTTGAATCACCTTAAATGATGACCCCATAATCAGTATCCATACTTTTGAGGAACTGCTAGAACTGGTGATGATTCAGGCTCTTAAGCTTTACGATATTCACGGCTTTGATGATTTGCATGACAACCATTTTTAAAGCTTTTACACACACATTTTCTTGATGCCTGATGCAGTGACATGTTATCAAAGGTGAGTTAGAGGTAATTGCATCATTATCTATGAATCTTGCAAGTCCCTCCTTTTTACCAACAACAGCTGGGGCACCATCAGTAGCTGTATCAGGTATGTTGATAAAGGTTAAAGAAAACTTCTTTAACTTTTTTCTACTGCTTCATAAAAGATTGTATTGACTGGTAAATTACACTTATCTGTCTCTCTGAATGTATAAGTCTTTCATCCCACGCTGTTTTCTTACAGTATCTTTAAGGTATGGTTTACTATCGTAAGTAAAAATGTAAACGAGTGATGTAATTCAGCCTACAACGTAAGGGAGCGAAAACCACTCCAGGCAGTCAATGGCATACTTTCCCACTGAGCTGGAGCAAGAATCTCACACCTGGTCTACATAACAGTAGGGCTTTTCTCACGTTTTCACGTTTTCTCACTGCGAAAGACAGCTCGGTCGCGGAGCACGGAACGCCGCCTCGCGAGGTCGCAGCGTCGAGAAGAGCGCAGCCCCGCCCCGCCCCTTCTCAATGCTGACGTCATCACCCCTCGCTCGAACCCGCGGAGCCGCCATCGCCTTCCCGTCGTCCCAGGCTGGAGGCCGGCGGCGGAGCGAGCGGCGGTATGCGGTCTGTCAGCTACGTGCAGCGCGTGGCACTCGAGTTCTGTGGCAGCCTCTTTCCGCACGCCATCTGCCTGGGGGACGCCGACAACGACACGGTGCGACCGTGACGCGGTAGCGGCGGGATCTGTTCCAGGCATTGAGCCGGCGGGTGGCGCAGGGCTGCGTGGCGGGCACACTTGGCGAGCCTAGCGTGACTACGCAGGGGGCTGCAGTGCGGGGCGGGCGGAGAAGGTCGCTCGTAAACGGGATGTTAGCGTCACTGGATTACAGCCAATCAATGTTTGCGTTACCATTGGACGTCGTAGGCACTACTTGTTGTGAAGCTCTTAGGGAAATAAACTTTTGGTCCCAGGGAGAGACGTTGCCACCGTTGCACGACTGGAAGTGCAAAGCTGTGGAGAAACAGTTTGTTGCCGTGCATTGGAGTACTAATGGAATAAAGTCGAGGATAACTGTCTCTTGATCTGTGTGTTGGATGGATGTGCATCAGCACTATTAGCGTCAGCTCCACAAATGGTTGTTCTTGGAATGTCTGATTTTGCTGTAATTAGGAAGAGATTAGCTTGAACACGTATACGAAGACTGTCTCTATAGACAAATCTTCTTAAGCTATCCTGGAAAGTGTCATAGCTAGCCATGTGAACTAATGTTACACAGGGTAATGTGCTAGGGGAGTTATGTAAAAATCTGGAGTAGAGACGTAATGCAGAGGATGGCATATGTGGGCTCATTAGCAGGAGATGGTGACTATTCAGCAGTCATCTTTCAAGAAAGCCAGTTTGTTTAGCCAGTTTGTTAGTGAGGCTGAAGATCCAGTGTAAATGTGTTGTGTTCTTGCAGATTTTTTCTAGACAATTACTTTCTCCACATCTTCCTCAGATGAATGAAGAAAGCCCAAGTCAGCTGTTTAGTCTGATTGTGTAAAATGAGGACTCTTTTTTTTTTTTTTTTTCTTAGACCTTTTCTACTGTTTCAAGCTTTTAACTCTTGATTTGCTGATTCTTACCCATTTCAGATATGAGATCTGTAATTCACACTATGCTGGGAGTACTACGTTACTGCAATTGTGAGCTTCTTGCTAACCTAATTCTCTTGTACAGCTGAACGAGCTAGTGGTAGGAGACACCAATGGGAAACTCTATGTGTACAAAAATGATGACAGCAAACCCTGGACAGTACGATCCTGCCAAGGAATGGTCAGTTCTTTACAAAGCTTTTAACTGATTGGGCCTTTTAATGTATGTACATATTATTGTCCTCGATCACTGCTTAGGAACATGAAAGCTAGAGAGGAGTGGCAGTCAGAATGGCTTCTGATCCTTTTCATCTAGTGATGTAAGACCCTCTTGCTTACAGCAAGCCCTTTGGACTAGAAATTATGAGTGAAGAACTGAACAAACACAGTAATTCTGTTGGGGCTTCTCCCACCTTGAACCTATTCCTGTGCACTTTGAATTTTGGTCCAGAGCTCTGGACAGTTGTGTTGCTTATGTGTTTCTGTCCTGGGCAGTTCTTTTTGTCGTTAAAAAGGCTGTTTGAGTTCAGGAGACTACAGTCTCTTGAGGAGGAGAGGAGAGGATATGGCAGGGGTTTATCTAAAAGTGCTTCTTTGGGTTGCCTTCTCTCATAGATGGACTCTTAAGGTCTTCTTTTCTCTTGCAGCTTACATGTGTTGGTGTGGGAGATGTATGCAATAAAGGAAAGGTGAGAGCAATCAAACTCCCCCCATCTTTGTATGTAGGACAAATGGGAAGTGCTTAGGAGATTTAGTTCATGTCTGTCAAAGAGTGTGGACGAGAGCAGATGGTAAGTGTTTTCTCTCCAGGATCTGACCTCATGCACAGAATTTTAATGCTTCTATTTTAAAATTGTTTTTGGGTTTGTATGTAACCTGAATCTCATCTGTCTGTAAACACCATACAAGTCTTAGTGAGCAAAGTGATCTTATCTTTAGGAAGCTTTACTGATAAGCACATCTTTCTGTGTGAATGCCATGAGGCTCCAGGGGTTTAAGGATTACTCCCTTTCCTTGTTGGCTGTTATCCAGCTGTCCTGAGCGCTATTGCAGGTCATGGCTCTTCTGCTGCTTGACTGTATGTGTTTCAGGTCACCTAAGCAAGACAGACATAGAATAGTTTTGACTTTCAAGCAAATTCTAGTGGGTGTAGTGTGACTTCTTCTGGGGGCTTGCTATTTTTAAGAATTAAACAAATGACTAAGAAGTCAAAAATTCCACTTTAGGCACCCTGCCTAAAATATTGTGCTCCATAGGAGAGCAGAGCTGAAGTGAGGTTAGAGTAAGCCATGTATTGGAAATTGCATGCAGACATCAGCTTGATATCCTGTTTTGAAAATGATGAGCCGTTTGGACCCTTCAGGACCTGAGTGGTTTGTGAGTTTGTGATTTTTGTTATTGGTATTCCACATCATAATGTAAAGCAGTAGCAGTTAAAGAATTACTGTCCTGGTTCTGGGGACTGCCTTTTTTGGGCATTTTGGTTCTTGGAGAGGAGCAGCATTCCCTAGAGGAGTTCAGGCCCAGAGGAAGAAAGGAGGAGCTCGTGGCTCACTTTCCTGGTCCAGGGGGCTGACAAGCATGTGGTCCCCGGCTGCTTTTGCCTGCCGTGATATCACAGAATCACAGAGTGGCCTGGGTTGGAAAGGACTTCAAGGGTCATGAATCTCCAATGGCCCCTGCCACAGGTACAGCCACCAATCTCCCCATTTAACACTAGACCAGGCTGCCCAGGGCCCCATCCAACCTGGCTTTGAACATCTCCAGGGACAGGGTATCCAGAACCTTTCTGGGCAGCCTGTTCCAGCACCTCACCACTAATAATAAAGAGCTTCCCCCTGACATCCAACCTACATTTTCCCTCTTTCAACTTAAAAGCCATTTCCCCTTGTCCTGTTATTATCTACCCTTTCAAAGAGTTGACTCCCCTCCTGTTTAGGCTCCCTTTAGGTACTGGAATTCTGCAATGAGATCACCTCCCAGCCTTCTTTTCTCCATACTGAACAAGCCCAGCTCCCTCAGCCTTTGTAGGGGAGGTGCTCCAGCCCTCTGAACATCTTTGTGGCCCTCCTCTGGACCCTCTCCAACAGTTCTGTCTTTCTTGTACTGGGAGCTCCAGACCTGGACACAGTACTCCAGATGAGGCCTCACAAGGGCAGAGTAGAGAGGGACAATCACCTCTCTATCCCTGCTGGCCACCCCTCTTCTGATGGAGCCAGGATGCCATTTGCTTTCTGAGCTGCAAGAGCACACTGCTGGATCATGTTCAGTTTTTCATCCACCAGGACCCCCCAGGTCCTTCTCTACAGGGCTGCTCTCAAGGACTGCTCCTTCTGGTCTGTATAAATGCCTGGGATTTCTCCGGCCCGAGTGCAGAACTTTGCAGTTTGTTGTGTTGAACCTCATTAGATTCACCCAGGCCCACCTTCTGAGTTTGTTGAGGTCCCTCTGAATGGCATCCCTTCCTTCCACCATGTCAACTGCACCACTCAGCTTGGTGTCATCAGAAAGCTTGCTGCACTCAATTCCACCATCTATGTCACTGATAATGATGTTAAAGAGCACTGGTCCCAAGACAGACCCCTGAGGGACACCGCTCATTACTGGCTTCTAGTTTTGGACGCTGTTTCTCTCATTTTCTCTCATTTTGTTTGATTTTGTTGGATGTAGTAAATTAATATTACTCCTCAGATTGTTGCTGTTGCTCTGTTTTGGTTTTTTTTTTTTTTAGACCCATCTACTATTTCCCTCCCCCCACTTTTCTCTCTCTCCTGAGGTGCTGGCCCGCATGTGCCATGCCTCATTAGTCACAGGGCTGGGCCAGACTAGCTGTAAACAGTTAATACTTTTTTTTCCTACCTCTCTCGTTTTGTTTTGTTTTGTTTTGTTTTTGTTTTTGGGACTGTGACCCCTGTCACAGACACAGATCTGGAGATACCTCTGTGACAACTGGCCAGAAATAGTCTCTTTTTCCCTTGTAGCAGTCATTGATCTTCCCTTGCCCTGCTACAATTTCTAAAAGAAAAAAGTAATACAAAGACTGTTCGCTTTTTCTCTTAGAATCTTGCAGTGGCAGTGAGTGCAGAAGGTTGGTTTCATCTTTTTGATCTGACTTCCCCTTCGAAGCACCCAGATGCTTCAGGCCACCATGAGCTAGCAGAAGAGCAGAAGCTAGTGTTCAAGCAGCATATTCCTGCCAACACCAAAGTCATGCTAATCAGTGACATAGGTGAGTGGGACAACAAGGATGGGAGTTCAGGGTGAGGGGATTTGGGGGCAAGAAGTGGTAATGGGGAGACAGAAAGCGTATGAGCATGTAGAAGAAAATGACTACCTAGCTGAAACAGTTGCTTTAACAAGACTGTCCAGTCCTTGAGCAAGAATTTACAAAAAAATTCCAAAGTGTGAGTTCTTGTAATAGGGTTGGGATCCTCAAGGATGGTGCTTAATGGATGTTGGGGTTTTTGCAGTTATGAAGGCCTAAGAGAGCCCTTCTGTCTCCTGGTTTCCCTGCAGATGGAGATGGGAAGTGTGAGCTGGTGGTAGGTTACACTGATAGAGTGGTGCGTGCCTTCCGCTGGGAGGACTTGTCGGAGAATTCAGACCATCTCTGTGGGCAGCTGATCCTGCTGAAGAAATGGTTGCTGGAAGGTCAGGTAAGGATATGGGAAGAGGTACGAGTTCTCAGTCCTATCAACAAAGTAATTGTCATCTTGATGGCTTGAAAGGAGATTTGCCTAGCAGTTGCCCTGTGCACGCAGGGATGCTGGTGTGATGTTCATTAGCTTCTCTCACTTGACTAGAGAATGTTTTCCACTAAGGGCGTTCCTAAGTGGCTTTTGCTAGGTGAAGATCCGTTTTACTTGGATATTTTGCCTGTAGCTGGCTTTGTTCAGTTTATGCTCAGCTTCTATGAAAAAAATCTGCTGTAGTTAGATTTAGGTACAAGTTGCACAGTGGAAACTTCTAGGTTATGTAAGGTTTTCAGTTCAACTCTATCTTTGTTTATCCTGTGTCAGTACAGGTGGATAGCCTTTCTGTGAACCCAGGCCCTGATGGCTTACCAGAGATGATGGTGTCCCAGCCAGGCTGCGGTTATGCCATTCTGCTGTGCACCTGGGACTCCGAGCAGCAACCCATGATAGAGGGAAGAGACAGCTCTTCCCCTAGCAGGTGAACAGTGATTGCGTGGAGTAGATGAGGAGATTCTACTGTAGATGCCTGTCACAAGAGGGCACCACGACCACTGCCTTTCTGAGGGATAATGCTGTCATCCTAGTGAAGCCAGTATCTGCAATGAACTACCTGCTGAGAGTTCATGACTTAAGCTTGTTGACACCCAAGTGCCCATGAATTCAGGTCTCTATGCTAGAGAAGAATATTGTTTTTGTTGTGTCCTGCTCTTCTTCTCGAGTTGGCCATGGAGTGAGTGACCTAGATCTCTATAAGGAGAAGGAGTCAGGGGAGCTGTCTGATGGTGGGACGGGTGGCATCTGTAAGGCTGAGCCAAGGCCAATTAATCTGAAGCCCAGGAAAGACACTACTGGTTTCTTCCAGATAGGGCAGGATTTCCTAATAAGAACCTGGCAGCCAGTGCTGTAAATTACAAGCAGAGAAATCAAGATGGGCAGTGAGGTTATTTTCCCTGTCCCTAGAGGCACCACTGTGAGAAAATCAAGCATTCCTATGCTGTTCTTTGGGACAGTAAGGCAGACCCAGAAAATGTGCAGGATGGAAGCTGGGCAAGTCTTGATGTCTTAGAGACCTTAATGAAATGTAAGTATCTTCCTGGCCAGAACTGAGGCCCAGACATGATCTCTGACTCACTTGGACAGACATAGACAGAAAGTTTTCCTGAATGAATAGCATTCAGACACATGTGACAGAAAATAAATTTAAAAAAAAATAAACAAACACCAATCTCCTTGTTCAGAATAGATGTTTTATTGACCTACTTGAGTTCTTTCCACTTTTCTGATGCTACAAATCACTAGGTCTTGTTTTTTAATCATTAGCAAATTTCTATCATTCCTGAGATGGTGTGCTTTCTTTTCATTGCTTTTTGTCAGCAAATAATCCTTTTACTGATGATTGAAATGTCCCCTGCTTAGAGCAATCTGTCATTTTTTGCTTTGGGAATAGCATATTGTTCTTGAGTATTTCATTAAGGGCCTGTGCACAGACTCTATCCATCTGTGGACTTGGAGAGTTCTGGAGTATTCTGCTTTTCAGATTGTCCTGACACAGGACCAGGCATGATCTCATAACCTTTCCTGATGCCTGCCTCTTTTCTCTCTAGAGAGGCCCCTGTTCGAGATGTTATTCTCCACCAAACATCTGGTCGGATTCACAATAAGAATGTTTCCACTCATCTGATTGGTAGTATTGGCCAAGGTGAGAAATTAAGAGCTTGCAGCCTCTGCCTCAACAGTTGCCTGTGATATTTTTTCAATGTCAGTCCAGTGTGAAATTAGATTTCCAGAGGCTGAAAATTAAAAACTTCAGGAGTTAGATGCTAGAACAGAAGGATTTCATCTCCTGTTGGTCTGCCTCCAAAGAACAGCTAAACGTTTGTTTTTGAACTTTTTACAGACTTTAGACCTTCCCTTGTTATTCGTCACTCAGCACAAGTTTACCTGCATCCTCTGCTTGCTTACATTTACTCATCTTGAACGTCTATGAAGCCCTTCTCCTGCAGATATACTAGATCCTTGCTTTTGCATGACTGCAGCTTCTGCCCTCTTCTTAATTACCTAGATGCATCTCTTCCTTTCCACAGCATCATTTTTAATTTCTTGCATTTGAGCACTTGATTCCTCTAACAGCTATATCCTGCCTTCTTTTGCCTGTGGATCCCAACCCCTCCAGAGCTGCTTCCACATTTCATTTTTATTGCTGTCCTTTGTCTCCTTTCAGTTTATACTGTTCAACTGTTATCTATAGCTGCTGGCTTCTCTCAGCCCTAACCTACTGCTTTTGTATCCAAGCATTTCTTACGTGCTGCCAGTGCTTCCCCCATGAAACTGGCTGAATATGCTGAATGTTGTACATACAGAGCATGCAAGTTTCACACTCCCTTGTTTATATGCTCCATAGTGCAAGGAAGAAGATTCAAAGCAACCCATGCTTTTTCCCTCCATGTCTGCAACTGGCTGGAATTGATGTGCATTTGAATTATCATCTGCATTGCTGTCTGCGGAGGAATTAGGCTGTGTAGTGTGATTAGAGTTGAGGGAGAAGGACAACTGACCAAACACTCCCCCCATCCCTTCCCTGCTCCGCAAAGTACAGCTCCTACCCAGTTGCTAAGCTTGTCATATTTTCAGCATTTCAGCTGCTGTGAGTACCATGATCACTGGAGCATGAAATCACTTATTTCACTGCATACAAAACCTGCAGAATAAGGGATGAGAAGTTTGTAAAAAGCCCCTTGGTGCTGGAACAGCAGTAGTGAGACAGCTAAAGTATGTCATGCTGACCAGTTTGTAGAGGACACAGCAGATCATTTAGAACAGAGTGCGTCTAGATGAATGTCAGCTACAGGCAGTATAGCACCCAACCAGCTAACTGTATAGAACCAGCTAACCCTATAGAAATAGGGTACTCTGTGTTCTGAAGTGTTGTAGCCTGGAGCTGTGCATGGTGGCGCAAGTAGGCTTACAGTATAGTGTCATTTTGGGAAAGCTGTATGGGAAGACCATGAAATTCCTTTCAGTTCTGCTGTCTTGCCACTGACTGCCACGTTTCCTGGGTTGCTGCAGACCTCAAGGAGACTGTGCCTCCTTCAACATTGTCAGTGCAAACATAAAATGCAGCTGTAGTTGAAAACAGCTCTAGCCTTCTGCCACCAAGTGTGATATCACTTCCAAAACTTTTATCTTGCATGTCTCTTCTGACTAGTGGACAGGTAGAGAGTTTACTGAAGTGGTGGTCAGGAAAGTCATGTCTTTGGGTTTTGCTAGTCCTGTGCACAATTGTGTGATACGCAGGCTTTGGAGAGGAACTGTTTGTTTGCAGGAAGTTCACAGCTGTGGGAACTAATAAAGCCAGGTCTGGGTGCACGAGCATTGAGACAGATGTCTAATCTACCCTCAAAGCAAGAGCTCTGTAGCATCTGAGCAGCATTTGCTGAGTGGGAACCACAGTTTCTGTTCAGTTTTCATCTAGTGGAAATAATAATATTGGTAGCATGATCTCGGCAGACTCGTTCAGGAGCTGACATGAAGGTGCTTTTGTGCCGCTTTGACTGAAATGTAGTCCTTCTAGCGGGATCTGCTTTTTCTTCTTGTTTCTTGAACAACTGAAGGCAACATTCCTATCCCTGAGGGAAGCAGTGAGGGTATAGTTGTGATATTCATTTAGCTTAGGCTATTATCCACATTGTCCCTTTGTGATTATTGTGCCTGTGTTTGTGCATTTTTGGAGCGTATAGAGGGTTTGATGATGTTAACTGCAACCAGAACTGCTGAAGGTCTGCATACATTTGGCATAAATTCCTGGAAGCAGTCAGCAGAGCCAGACATGCCCATATCAATGCAAACTAAAGATGCTGGATTCTTGAGTTTACACTGACAGTTGTGCTCTACTAATAAAAGCTGGCATGAGGTAGGATTGGTTGCAAGACTGCAGATACTTGTTACGCAAAGTTGTAAGACTGGATGAAAAAGGAGGCAATATGGGTCAGCTTGTTGTTTTGCATCTTTTTTTTTTCAGGAGAGGGAAGGAACAATGCTCATAAATAGGTTTCAACTGTAATTCTCTTCTGCATTTACAGGGTACTCCAGTGTGGGTAATGGCTCGGGTCTCTTTGCCCTTTGTACGCTTGATGGTAAGTTCTGCCACTGTCCCGGAAGAAGGGCCTGTGAGAAAGCCCAAGGCTTGTCCTTAATTAAAAGTAGGGAACAAGTGTGCAGTGCTTTTGATTTTGAAACAAGAGGGAACTGGGCTTCAGAAATGTTTCCTGATGCACACAAAAGAATTTGACTAGCTCCTTCTTCTGACATTTGTTTTCTTCTTTTTTCAGTGTCTTATTAGTATCTCCCTTTTTTGCTGTTACAATCTCTTCATCTGTGGATTTCAAAGCATTTTACAAACATTTATTAAACATATGGCACCGTGGCCTATGGGGATAGAACTGTTAAAGCTTGGCCCAAAACGGAAAGCTTGAAACTAGAATTAGCATCTGCTTACTCCTAAGCTGCATTGCATGCTTACCCAATACTTAAACTACTGTTTAAGATGCCAATTTGGCAGTGCAGTGCATGTAAACAAGAGCCTGTAAACCATAGCAGAGATATGCCTTTGTATTTGAAGGGATTTGTGTTGTTTCTAAAAGTATTAAAGGAAATGGATGCTGAAACTCAAGTATTGTTAGTGAAGAGCTTGCCTCACACTGGCCTGGAGCCATATTTTTCTGCTCCATTGCAGACTGAGAAGTGATAGGACAGACTAATTAACTGAATGGAGGGATTCTGTTCAAAAAGCAGCTGTGTGGAGACAAGGTGCTGTGTGTCCCTGTTTCCAGGTAGGCAACTTGGCTTATATGGGCTAGATGTCCATCTGCTCTATGATGTTCTGCTAGGGAGTTTCTGAATCTTGTTTGGGCCTTAACTGTGAAGCTGCCTCAATGGGCAAGGCTTCCAGTCACACAATGATTCCTTCATGAGCCGTACTGAGATTGGAGGGCATAGTGAGGTTAGATTCATGTTTATGTTATATGACCTTCTGTCTCAGGTCTGCATCTCCCACTAGCCTCCATGGTATTTTCACAGTACCTCTGGAAAATAGGAAAATGGTACGAGGTAAGTGTTTAGAATGATTTTAGCATCCAGGAGGCCACTTCTATACTACTAGCCAGTAACTTTTCAGCTGATACCAGTTCTCTTGAGATTGTATGATCCATGGGACATGATGAGAGGATTCTAGTTTACGTGGTCTCATGCGAGACCTGTTGATGTATTGTATCCAGGGATCGTGTTTGAACAGTTTCTTCTTAGGGTGCAAGCCAATTAGTAGAGCTGCTGCCATTTCTTCCTGTTTCCTTTTGCTTTGCTGAAAATGCAATCAACTACTATCCCTCCCAGAAATGAGATTCCTGTCAGCTACAGTCTGTACTATGCTCTCCCCTCCATTAGCAGACCATGAGGGCTGAAGAAGTACACAGGGCCCAATGTTAGCAGATATTTAATATTTAAGCCTTTTAATATTTTCAGGACAATCTTTTTTTTCCTCTTCAGGGACACTGAAACTCATGGAAGGGGCAGACAAGCTGCTCTGGTCTGTGCAGGTTGATCACCAGCTATTTGCGCTGGAAAAGCTGGATGTTACTGTGAGTACTATGTGAATAGGTCTGAGAGTGAAGGAGTGAAGACAAAAGTTCAACATAACTTTTCTATGTTTAAATTTTGGAAGGGCAGAGATAGTATTGCAGCAGCTGAGGCACGAACTTGGAATGATGCAAATTGTTTATTGCAGGTTCTAACATCCCTTGTATACATTCACAAGTTTTCTCTTTTAACTTTCCCACCACCTTTACATGTCAACAAAACATTCCACTAACACTCCTTAACTGCACACAGGCAGTTATCCAGTCAGAGCCATGAGTTGTCTCTGGTAACAAGTTCTTCCTCCAATCAAGGCCATCATCACGAGGCCATCACACAGCTTACTTGACTTTGCTTTTTTCTTCTTCTGGAGATGTCCTTGGTTCTCAGTGTTGCTTTCTCTTCACGTTCACAGCTGCTGCTCTGAATAGTCTTTCTTGTATTCCCACAGAGTATGACTCAGCTGAAAAAATGCTGGGATTATTGCAGGATGATACACTGAAAGCTCTGACTGTGCCAGCACATTCTACACTCGTGTCAGTCTGCCTTCCTCCAAGAGTTTGAGTTGTGTCTGCCTATTTGACCTAGTGAGCACAGTGCCTTGCTATGAATTTTTCCATCCCTGAACTGCTCTTTTATCTCATTGCAAAATCAAAAAGTTTTGCAAATTGTCAATACTCCAATTGACAGCCTATGGGCTCATAGGATACATAAGGATTGTAATAGAGAAGGAAGAGTTGATTTCCAAGTTAATGAGTGTTATCTTGTTCATTTAATAGTGCTCTACCTCTTGAATAAGCAGAAAGATTATTGACTGCCTCTGGGAGTAGCTGATGTCTGTGCTAATCCTATGGTTCCTGCAGGGCAATGGACGTGAGGAGGTAATTGCCTGTGCATGGGATGGCCAGACATATATCATCGACCACAATCGCACAGTTGCCAGATTTCAAGCAGATGAGAATGTCAGTGCATTCTGTGCAGGTGAGGATTTTGACTGCAAAGCCAGCCCTCACAACATTTCTCCATAAAAGTTACTGCTCTCCTCTGGGGAACCTGTGATCTTTTGTCTGTCTGCAGTGGGGAATAATTTTCCTGGGGTGTATATTCTGCAGGAAGAGGCACAGTTAGTCTTCCCACTGATGGAATCTGGGAAAAGCAGAATGAGTGGGGGTGATGCTGGGGTATGGCTGTGATTGGTTTAGTTTATTTTATTATTATTTTTTTTTCCTTTCTTTTCTGTCCAATCTGAGAGTGCTATCAGTGTTTTCTTCTCCATTGCTTTTTTAATTTGTAGTCTTCTAAGCTGTTCTCGCTTGAGATACAGACCCCCATGGAGCCAGCCTGAGTCTTGACTTTGCTAATTTGTTTCTCTTAGACTTGTAAAAAGCAGCTTGCAAATCCACAAGCTGCATACATTAAAGACAGTTTAGAGACAACTGAAATGTCTCAGAGGGGCTTAACACAGCCAAGTCCATCTCTGTTCTTTCCATGAATGTGCTTACTGCTCTCTGCTAACGTCTTTGTTGTCTTATCCTGAGAAGTTACCTATTTGCCTTCTCTGTATTTTGAGAAGTAGACAGATTTTCCATATTTCTGTTCTTTGTAGGCCTATATGCATGCAAACAAGGAAGCAACAGTCCCTGCCTGGTTTATGTCAGCTTCAATCAGAAGATCTACATCTACTGGGATGTGCAGCTGGAGAGAATGGAGTCCACCAACCTTTTAAAAATCCTGGAGAATGACCCAGAGTTTGACAGTCTACTGCAGGAGCTGGGTGTAGGTGAGTGCACAGAATGAGGGATGTACAAGAAAAAAGAGAGGAAGAGCTGCTGGTGCTAGAGAACAGGAGGGTACTTCTTCAGGAGAAGGGCTACTTAATCTTTTGAGAATCCCTGCCAATTGTCTTTTTCTTTTTCTATAGAAAAAAGTGATGTTTCTGCAATCCAAGATCTGATTTACAAAACACTGTATTTTCCTGAGAAACTACAGCCTAACAGCTCTTTGCAGTGTCAGAATCCTGGAACAGACTCCTCTGCCCACCACCACACTGTCATCCAGAATCCCTTACAAGATTCAAGGTGAACATCTGCCATCCCATTGGAAACTCTCTTCTGACTGGAACTGAGCATTCACCCTGCATGATAGTATTCTCAGCTTGTCTCTTCTCTCTCAGCTGAATTTGGATGGGAGTAATAGACTCACCTGCTGTATTACATCCGTATCTTCTCCCATTTGTATAATGTTTTATTGGGCATGCGTGGAGCAGTCCCTTCACCATTATGGCAGCCTGAGAGGATTGTGTATGAGATCAAATATTATTAATTTGGTGCTTTTGTGTTAGCAAATGATAACATTTAAAGATCTTGAAAGCTGCTTTTTGAAAGCTTTCTGTGCTATGCTCTGCAAAATATCCAAGAGCTGTTCCTAACAGGGAGAATGAATTTTGTGTGGAGGAAAAGGATATCTTGCCATTGGGTCAAAAAATCTGTTGCTCTTTTTTGGGAGAACAGGACTTTTTACATAATATTGCAGCTTGTTTTTTGTTTTGCAATTTCCATTTATAAATTAATGAAATATTTATAGAGGACAGCATCAGTCCTCTGTATCTTACGGCTGTGAAAATTGAAGCACAAAGCAATAAATTGATACAACCTGCTTTGTCACAGTGAGCACTCCTGTTACTTCTCAGCATTCTTGCATCTCTGACTACTGTGTAACTACACTGGAAGTTTTTCTCCATTTTAGTGACCTCTCAGAAGTATTTTTGCATGCTCCCATATAATACTAAGTGCTTGTGTATAACTGGACTAATGAGGCAGGAGCTCTGAAGTTGCAGTAGTGCTTTGGTACCAGTGTTGCTCAAACTAGTGGAAGTTTTCAGCAGCAGGGCTTGAATTTGTTATCTGTGGAGAGTTGACAGTGCAGGAACCACATATTATGTAGAGGTGGGATGAACAGGCTGGTTTCTTTGTACTCTGAGATACGTTCCTAACCCTATTGCTACTTGATTTTAATCTTCAGAATTAGTGGACCTGACACAGGGACCACAGTGGAGCAGAGTTCTGCAACGCAGGTTGCTGAAAACATGTAATAAAACAACAGGCACGTGTGTCTTAGCATGTGCTGTTCTATCCCTAAAGCAAACTGCTGCTCTTCATCTATGATGGGTTGTGTATTTCCTCCTCATACATCCTTAATTCTGTGGCCTCTGCCTCCTACACTGGGGACATAAACAGGATAATTATAAATAACACCAATGTCTGAGTTCTCACTCATGTTTTGCACAATCTGGCATGTGTACAGCTTTATAGGTAATGGACTGTTATTGTATGTGCTTGATGAAAATGGAGCACTACCACAACTTGTGCCTACCGTGGCCCCACTTGACATCTTGTTTGTCTTTAGTAAGGCGTGCTGTTTCCACAGAAGTACTCTTCTTGATCCCATGTTGGGATCTCAGATGTTCCTGCAACAATTGCTTGGAACATTTCATTTGTGACTAGTTGAGCTAATATGTTAGCTGGGTCCTACAGGCTATTGCTGCACTATTGCATTAAAACTTCCTAACCCATAACAGCAAAAGAAGATTGTCTATGCTCATTAACAGAGAACAACTCTGTACTGGCAGTTTATGCCAAATAGGTATCTTTCTTAGCAGCACAAGCACGAGGAGGGTACAAATGGTTGTATGACTGAAACTGATTTATGCAAAACAAATTTTGCTATACAGGTCAAATGAACAGATAGTTCAAATTGATCTACTGTTGAGATATTGATTTTATTTTAGTCAAAACAGGAAAGCATTAATGTAGATGAATGACATTTTTCTAGGAACCATCTTAAAAAGAAAATATGACAAAACACGTATATGTTGCAACTTGTGAAGCTTAGGGCTTTTCTCCTGTTGGATATCATTGCTTTGTGCAGTGCAAGCTCAAGAATGCTTCTTTGTGGAGAACAGAGGTCAGAAGGTATGGACGCTGTGTATCGTGGGTGTCCAACTTTTTTGCTTGCCTGGGCCATACTGCGTGAATGGGAATCATCTTTTGCCACATGTAAAATATGTAATAATGTATAAGGTTTCATAATCAGACATGATAAATTTTTTGAGCTGAATATTAGATTGCAGCTGCGTACAAAATTCACAGGTAGTGTATTTAGATTGATTGAAATGGAATCCCAAATACAAAAACAAAAAAAGTTTGTTTTTCTTTAATCTCAAAGCCTATTCTCAAATTCTTTTTTCAGAAAGGAAAGCAAGGCTGCATATTTCTCACTGCTCACAGGACTGTGTTTAAGCCAGCATATCAAAATGCATGAAATTATTTGATGTAGCTTGAGCTTGCCATAATTTAAATTTTATTTCAAACACAGTCATGTTGGAAACACAGCAGATGAGATCATTTTCATCTTGAAGCTGCATGTTTAACTCATTTAAGTGAGTGGCCAAATCTGTCAAAAATGCTAAATCTGTAAGCCATTTTTAATCTTCACATTCTGACACAAATTTTCCTTCTGACTCCACAAAGGACTTAATTTCATTTCTCAAATCATATAATATTTTTAGTGTTCTACCTTTACTTAGCCACCTAGCTTCAGAAAAGTTAATGGTGTCCCTATAATCAGCATTCTTACTTTTAAGGATTTCCTGGAATTGACGATGACTCAATCCCTTATTATGAAATACAGAGCTTTGATGATGTTTTTGAATTATATTATCAATTTTTAAAGCTTTCTCACATACATTTTCTTAATGTTTGATGCAACAGTATTTCATTGTGTGATTTTTCTTGTGGCAACTGCATTATTTTCTCTTAATTTTATAAGTCCCTTTTTTTTTTTTTTACCAGCCATTGGTAGGGTGCTGTCAGTAGCTTTAACAAATATGTTGACAAAGGTTAAAGAAAATTACTTGAATGTATTTTTTACTGTTTCATACAAATGGGGAGATGTAGTTGTGTCTTTTAAAGACACCAAATTTTCTTATATTCACTTGGCTGTAGTCTGGCAAGACAAACTAATTTTAGAAAAACCTGCTTTGGACATATTATGTGTGCCGTGCTTTCCATGCATTGCTTAATAAACTCTTCAGTAAATGGTTTTAATTTTTTTGCAGTCAGATTTGCTTTCTTAAGTTTATACCAAAATGAACTTTACAATTAGTTATATCAGAATTGTCACTAATGACACTAATAATGGATGAATTAACACTTAACAGCATTCGCCCTGAGGTCTGTTTATGGGAACTGCTGAGTCACAGCCTGAACCTCTGACTGATCACCTGAGGCGAGCAATGAGTCAGAATTTAAGTGCACAGTCCCATTTAAGTGCTGACTGCCACCAGGATGGATCTTCTTCTGGAGATAGCTCCTTGTGGTGTTTACTGCGAGCCTATGACACTGATGAGTATTTCCATTGATTTTTATTATTTTTCCACTGTGTAATCTTACTAAGCGTAACCTCGGTATACCTATTGATTGTACACCTATTGATTGGACAATTGTACACCCATTGATTGTACACCTACATTACACAATCTGTGCACAAGAGCAATAAGGTGCACAGGTCATCAGGAGAGCAGAAAATTTCTGTATTTGGTAGATATAATTTCAATGATGGTCGAACTGTCAAGAGAGATGTAATAAAAATGTTTAAACCATGCTTCTGTAAACTTGACCAGAGATCAGTTTTATATTGTTAATGAAAATGTTAGAATGGTTAAGTTATGATGGCTGTGGGAATGAAGGCAGATTCAGGATGTTGCTGAGGACACCTTCTATTGCTGCAGTTCTGTTTTATGGCTTGTTCTACACCTAGGTCCAGCCCCTAAACTGCACCCCTGACATGCACCCCTGAAATCACCACAGGCAGCCAACCCAAGAGTCACCATGTTCTCAATAACAGATACGAGCCATGATTTCCTTGCAGGGAGCACTTCTTCAGGGCTAGCCAGATCTTAGCTACTTGCCACCATTCCACCCATCCCAACTGCCTGGATTCCAGCTTGTCCCTGGAGAAGATGGACAAGACCAAGGACTACCAGAAGCCCTGCAGTGAAGGGGTTCAGCAGCAGGTGGTATCACATTGTTAAAGGTTAAACTGAACATGCATTCCCTAGTCGCACTTGTTAACAATCCAGACATGCTTGCAGGCAGGCTAGAAGAAACAGGGAGCACTGCACTCTCTTACATTCTGAAAGCACAAGGCTCAGTAAAAAGGCCACAAAATGCAAACAATGAATTTATTCAGTGAATGTCTCTTCAGACCGCTTCAAGGATTAAAAATCCTGCCTCTTAGGAAAGCCAGCTGCCTCCACCACGTCATGCATTACTGCTGCCATCCTATAATGCCTGGGAAAGAAAAGGCAAGCTATTGCATGTTATTTTGTTAGCCTGCCCCAGACACAAGTGATATAGACCTCAGTCACAAATGGATAAACATAGTTATGCAATCAAGTGCTACAATCACAGACTGCTGACAGATCTTCCTGTGCTCAGAGACAACTTCAGTGAATTTTCAGGGGCTGAAGCCTGGATATGGACACACAGCTAGCTATAGATAACAGCAGTTTGAAAATTAAGCTGACTTTCAATAACTACTACATCCTACAGTGTGATTTTCTTGATTATTAGCATGAACGTAATTATTACCTTGTGTATTGGACTTGCTAGTTCACAGTCTGAACCAATGATTGAGCACCAGGTGAGAAGGCGTGGCTAACCAAGGGAGCAAGCAGTGCATCTGAATGACCAGAAGTCATGGACCAGGTCCACACCTCCTCATTTTCACGTAAGAGTTAGCAGCTAAGGAATGGCATGTCTATCTGGAAACTGCCCTCCTCAAGACTCCATGAGCCTTTGGAAAGGGTGAGCCACTTCTTTCTGCATCACTTTCTAAACTAAATCTTACTGAATGCAAGTGTGCTCCTTATTCTAGTAGAAGGCTCTATCACCTCCTTCTATTGATGCATACATGGGAAGTGATCTAAAACTGTCTCTAGACTGAGAATCTATTGTTCACATAACATAACATAACAAGTACCAACATATTTCATAAGCCTTGAGCCATTGTCTCTGGAGGTGTTTAAGAAATATTTAGATGTGGTACTAAGGAACATAGTTTAGTGGGAAAATATGGGTGGTAGGTGGATGGTTAGACTGGATGATCTCAGAAGTCTTTTCCAACCCTGGTGATTCTATCATTCATTAAAACATGTTAGCACCCTTTTAGAGCTCAGCAGTTTTATGCTGTTTTAAAAGGATGAATCACTTCAGGTTCAGATTCCATTCCCCAATCAATAAAGCTCATACTGATTTTATTTCGTATACATGTCTGTGTGTTCTGTTTGCTTATGTTTTGTGTCTTCTAATGGATGTCTTCATCTCCATTTCTTCACGAGTCTATACACAGCAAGAAAATTCTATTATAGCTTGAAAGTCCATGCTTGCAATATATATATAGTGTGGCTGTAGTAGGAGTAGTTACTGCACAGCTGTGAGTGGGGTCTTCCAATCACAGAACACAGAATTGATAGATGAGAAGCTGGACATGAGCCCAGAAGGCCAACTGTGTTCTGGGCTACATTAAAAAAGAGGTGGCCAGCAGGGAGAGGGAGGTGATTGTCCTCCTCTACTCAGCTCTTGTGAGGCCCCATCTGGAGTACTGTGCCCAGGCCTGAGGCCCCCAGTACAGGAAGGATGTGGAGCTCTCGGAGCTGGTTCACAGGAGGGCCACTAAGAGGGTCAGAGGGCTGGAGTACCTATCCTACAAAGGAAGGTTGAGGGAACTGAACTTGTTTAGCTTAGAAAAGAGAAGGCTCCAGGAAGCTTCTGCTGCTAGAATACATGCCTCTAACTCGACTGCACTGCCAATCACAACCCTCTGAACTCAGCCAGTTCTCAACCCACCTCACTGTCCATTCACCTGTCACGCACTTCCTCAGCTGCTCTATAAGGATGCTGGGGGAGACAGCATCAAACACCTTGCTAAAATCAAGGTAGATTACATCCACTGTTCTCCCCACATCCACCCCACCAGTGAAGGCCTGGAGTATGCCCAGAGAAGGGCAACAAAGCTGGCACAGGGTCAGGATTACAAATCTTTTGAGGAGTGGCTGAGTCAACTGGATTGTTTAGCCTGGAGGAGGCTCAGGGAGACCTTATAGCTCTCTACAACTACCTGAAAGGAGGCTGGGGCAGGGTGGGGGTCAGTCTCTTCTCTAGTACAACTAGCAGTAGAAATAGAGTGAAGGGTCTCAAGTTGGACCACGGGAGGATGGTGGTCAAGAAACATTTAGATGTTATACTAAGGGACATGGTTTAGCAGGAAAATACTGGTGATAGGTGGATGGTTGGACTGGATATCTTGAAGTCTTTTCCAAACCTTGGTGATTCTATGATTCTAAGCTGTAAGGCATTCCCTCAGCACTCTTTTCTCCAGACTGTCACAGATAACTTCTCTGTCCTGTAGATCCAGATAAAACTAAAGACTGTTCCTGGTGAATCCAGAAAGGAAGAAAGGATTTACATTGTACATAGAGCTATGCTACAACGTAACACACTACCACTAGCAGGCCCCACCGTGAGGAAGGGCATGAGGACGTGAAGAGCTCCAGGGAGGACAAAGGTCTCTTCCTCATGAACTGTTTTTCAATTATCTGTGCTTCCGGGCTGCACAAGGAAGAATATAAGCCAGCACCTTCCATCGCTATACCTCACCTGAAACTTCTCTTAATCCAAAGAAACTGGTCAACTCTTTTTGCTTAAAGTAACTACTAGAAGGTTAGTCAAGCTTTACCACAAGACATGACCCTTCATTTTCTGCCTGCCAGGACCTACCCAGTAAATCCACCACATTCATCAAAAAACAATAACAACTTCACTCCTAGATCTAAAGAAAGAAAGAACATTTTTCTAGGCCATTGTTGGCAATCAAACACCTGGATTAAGGTAAGACTTCTCACCTTTACCCAGACCACAACAACATTTCCGTGATACCTTCAAAACTACTAGAATTTTGTTGTCTGGCAAACACTGAGCAAACGCAGCTGTGCAAAAACAGATGACAGTGAGTAGTCTTGATCAGGCTACAACTACAAAAGTGTCAGGGCTCCAAGCATACGTTCCTAGAATCATAAATACATAGGGTTTGAAGGGACCTTAATGATCATCCAATTACAACTCTGCACAGGCAGAGTTGCTATCCCCTAGATCAGGCTGGACAGAGCCCCATCCAACCTGGTCTTGAACACTTTCAGGGATGGGGCAGCCATAACTTCTCTAGGCAATCTGTTTCAGTGCCTTACCAACTTTTTTTGTAAAGAACTTCTTCCTAACAACTAACCTAAACTAGAAGAGGGGAGATTTAAAATTGCTTCCCCTTATCCTATCACTACATGGTAAAATGCCAGTCTCCATCTTGTTTATAGGCTCCCTTTAAATACTGAAAGGCTGCAATGAGGCTTTCCCAGAGCCTTTTTTACTCCAGGCTGAAGAGACTGTGAGAACCCTTGTTTGTTTTTTGGTTCAAAGCTTGCTACCCAAAGTATTTCTTGTGATAAGACTGAAATATCTAGGAGATGAGAGGTGGGTGTAGGCATGTGGCAATCAACATCACCATATGGACAATTTCACATTTGAAAGCATGTCTTTGGAGCTGTTTACCTTTGGAAGGGAGTGCTCAGGACTGGAGAACTGGCAGAAGATCCAGCCAGTAAATAACACCAGCTTGCTATGGGAGACTGGGAGATGATACCACTGCATCCTGTGAAGGCAAGATTCAAGTTGATGCCTGCATACTCCCTCTTATCAGCTGGTAAGGCCAAGGAGACGGGAACTAAAGGAGTTCCTGCTGAGATCCAAAAGCCAGAAGCTGTCCCTCCAAGAAGAGCTGACTCAACCACTTTGGACTTAAGTTTGTACTGCCAGCGGAAGTTAGCGCCATGATCACTGTCATCATCAATGGAACAACGCCTGACAACCCACCACAACTGAACTATGAACCACATTGGACCCACAGTGGTGATTACCTCCCTCTTGTTTCCTACAAGAACTCCTTGCTTCTATTTCCTATATTTTTTATTGTCCTTCTTCCCTTTTCCATCTCC